TGCATTCAGCTGCATTCAGCTGCATTTAGCTGCATTCAGCTTCATTTGTCTGCATTTAGCTGCATTCAGCTGCATTTAGCTGCATTCAGCTGCATTTAGCTGCATTTAGCTGTATTTATTTATTTCACCAACAAACACAACGAATGCGTTTGAAAACAGGGAGGAAGTGGAGCAGAGAAGACAACCGTTGTCCAACTTGTCCAACAGGATCTCGTGATCAGCAGGATTAAAAATCAACGCTGACATCAAGAAGACCAAGGACAAATCAGTTTGTAACCGTGTTTATGAACATAAATGAGTTCAGTTCTGTACGTAGTGACATCAAGAACCAGACTGAAAACAACCAAGAATATTGTAAGACTATTAATCTGTGATTAATCTGAGTGTTTATCTGAGCTTTAGCTAGTATTTATTTGAAAAAATGGTAAATTCGTTTGATATCAGCTGTTTTGGGCGCAGCCAAGAAAACCTTCAGATAGAAGAGAACCTTTAATATTTTCCAGCACCTCAGAGGAAACACTGTAAAACACTGAAGATCCAAACATCAGGTGGACGAGCTCAAAGCGTTTTACATTCAGTGGTTCAAAGTCAAAGCATCACTTGGAGGTCTTCACACATCTCAGACAAGAAGACACTGGTGGATTAAAGGACCCACCTGCGGGCCACTGGGACGAATGATCAATAATCTGCTGTGAGATATGTGAATTTTCTGCCACCAAAAAGAAGAAGTGGAGGTACAGAAAGGATGAATGAATACAAACCGAATGGGCACAAAACCGTCTTCCTGACAAGAGCTTTCGGATGAACAGGTCTAGACATGTCAGAGGCTGCATGGAAAAGGTGCCGCACCCATTTCCAGGCTGTTTTAGGTATTTCACTTTCATAATGAAGAACTGGCTCATTCAAATCTGTTTGCAAATAAACTATCTGAGCATTTCTACCACTGAATGTCAGAACTTTACCTGCAACTACAACTGACTTTATTTTAGTCAGTCTAATTTAAGATGGCCACCACAGTTTAGCAACCATAGTTTACAGAAAAATTGCTATAACTCAGTTAATATTACAAATTAGTAAGCTTAAATTTGTTGCGGTATTAGCTGAGCATCATCCCTTACACAAAACCAAAAGCTTCATTTTTGGCATCTCAACACAAACTCCTGAGTGACGCTGCTTGAGATTGTGCACGTCATTATTTTCAGTGTGACCAAAACGGCTAACTCCATCTTTAATAAGCACAAGATGATCTTAATTTAAAAGTCGGTCAAGGCAGCAGGCGATATTCAGTTTGAGGTCTTTTGAAGTTTAATTAATAACTTTTGTGTTGCCAGGTTTTCATTCTGCACAGTATGCTCAGATGTATATAGTCAATGATGACGACCAAACATATCACCTTTACATTACATCAGGACAGCTGTGCTCATATTTAATGTTTAAATGTAAAAAAGAAGATTTGCAGACTACTTTATGTGGGGCTGAACGATTTTTTTTATTCTGGAAAGCTATTCTCTGGTTTGAAGCACATCTTGTAAAGGATAAAAACTGTATCAGAATGTTTCTGTTCAGGCCCTGAGACCACTTCTGTCGTGACTTGGAGCTTTAGAAATAAACTGAATTAAATTGAATTGTTTAAATATTGTGGGGACATTTACTGAGCAACATAATTTGTTTGTGTACGAGCGCCCTCTGCTGTCAGAAGAGCACATCGCAGCAGGAAGTACGTCATTCAGAATCTCTGCTCCTATTGGTTACTGACGGTCACGTGATCAAAACACAGCCATGGCGGTGTCCGCTGTAGTCCGGACGAGCACGGCGCTGACTTTGAGTTTTAACCGTGTTCTGCCGTCGTGCAGCGCGTGTCCGCTGAACAGACTGAAGAGATGTGTGAACAGCAGAGCTAACCTGCAAAGGAGACGCTCGTTCGACAGTTTCCGGACCTTAAACCGACATTTACAGACGAGCATGTGTGAGTGGAGCGGCTAGCTAACGCTTAGCACGGCTCGTTCTCTCAGTATTAGCAAAGAGCAGTCAACCTTAATCCTTACTTTTAATCCGAGTTTGAGTTGTTCAGAATTATCAGTTAATATTTCATGTACAACTCTGTTCAAGAACATTTGTGTAACTTTTCATTCCCATTTGTGCATCAACAAGTTAATCACTGACCTGGGTGAGTCCCCGCTACGAAACATTCACGTTTCTAACTTATTTCTCCTCTTTTTTTTTTTTGTCTAAAGGTCTTTACCAGGGTGATGAAAGCAGCTCGCATGCAGAGGACCCAGAAGATGTGTGAGTCTACAGAGGCTTTTATTGTGAAGGGATAGGGAGCTGACAGGAAGTACTGTTTCCATAAAGCCCCCATCAGATGCATCACTGAGTGATCATCTGTTTCCATGACGATGACAACATGCACAGCGCCTGTTGGCCCGCCTTCATGATGTTTACTAGTTATTTAACGTTTTACTTGGTAAAACTCTGTAACGTTACACCCTGAGGAACTTTCTGAATGGGCGTGACGCTTGGTACGAACAGGTAACCTGTAAATTTGAACTGGTTTGTTTCTTCAGGGTCAACGTGGTGTTTATAGATCGGTCCGGACAGAGGATCCCAGTTAAGGCCAAAGTAGGAGATAACGTTCTGTTTCTGGCTCACAAACATGGAATTGACCTGGAAGGTGAGGGTTTGTGCAGTTAAACTAAAGCTGCTGAATTAATTATCAACCGTTTCTGCTGTTGCCTTCAGGAGCCTGCGAGGCGTCGCTGGCCTGCTCCACGTGCCACGTCTACGTGAGCGCTGCTCATTTCGACAAGCTGCCAGAACCTGAGGAGAGGTAAGGTGCCACCGGTGCCACCTGATGTGAGATGAGGCTAAACGCTGACAGACGTCTCGGTTCTCAGGGAGGACGACATGCTCGACATGGCGCCCATGCTCCAGGAGAACTCCCGGCTGGGATGCCAGATCATCCTCACTCGGGAGCTCGACGGCATTGAGCTCACCCTGCCCAAAGTCACCAGGAACTTCTATGTGGACGGCCACGTTCCTAAACCTCACTGAACCGAGCTGCCGATGACCAGGAGGGAGCAAAGGCCCTCGGGGTGTGAATGAGACTCGGCATGTGCCGGTTCAGAGGTGCCTGGATGGATTCGCAGCTAGGACAGCATCGTCTGTAGCATCTCCCCAGACGTTTCCATGGTTACCTACTGTCAGGACGGAGCTGCAGATGAGCCGAGCACCAGAGTCTCACTGAACTCGTTATGTTGAGCGATAATGCATTTATTTAAACGGCGTGTTCTCAGGCCACCCTTAGGGCACCAGGCGGCATCACAAACTGCTCACAGAGCAGCGGTCAGTGAACGCAACATTCCTTGTTACAGCTTATATACGCACAGGTATCACAAGATGGTCATCGTTTGCACCAGTCTCGTCCTCACTCCCGTTTCATTCGCCTACATGGTGTCACGTTTATTGTTGGTTTATAAATGCAGCGTCAGAAGGTTGTGGCTACAGAACCGACAGAAAAGCTGTTTTTGTCATGAAGTGACTGATGCTTCTTGAAGGTGGGCCGTTTACAGCAAACTAAACTCATTTTAATAAAACATTTCAAAACAAGTGCACGTGTTTGGACTGAAGGTGTCGTTCCTTTCTGACACTTCAAGGCTTCATCAGTGGGTCTGGATGATCTGAGCTTGGACCTGCAGTAAGAAACCTTCACTCAATCTGCTGAACACGCACATGACTTTCAGTTGTATATTTTAGAAGCGGTCAATAAAGTTTGGTTTAACTCATGTTTTTGAGGCATGCTTTTATTTTGGTAACATTTTTTACTCTACGGCCTGAAATCAGCAGGAAACAGATTCAGAGGTTGATGTTAAATAAACTCAGTTTGATCTGAAGATGACGTTCAGAGCACAGATTTTCAGGGAACACCCACAGAGGAGTGAGATGCTCCAAGTGTGAAGCTGCACATGCACACACCAGGCGGCCAACGTTTTTCTGCTCTAACAACAGTTGGAATAAATAACAACAATTATAATAAATATAACAACAGTT